AGATGAGCCTGAGGGGGTTGCTGGTTTGCGGGGTTGCTCCGTGCCCTAGCTGCACCCTCAGGTCAGCCCAGCTCTGTTTGTTCCTACGATGGACCAGAGAACTTGGGGGACTCCTCCAGGGAGCTGCTGCCAGACCCTGCCTGCAAACCACTCTCCAGAGCCTCCCCTTCCCATGGCCCCCCAAAGAGAGTGCCGGGGCTCCCAGCAGATGAGAAGATGGTGAACACCGTGCCTAACCCACTCCTGGGAAGTAAAAATTCTCTACCCTGGTCCTTGCATGAACTAGATCGTGCGCGGACAGTGCTGCTCAGCTCAGTACAGCTCATCTTATTACAATGAAGCAAGTTGGCAAGACTGGTGTGTGGGCCAGTCTTTTGCAACTGGTCAAGCTCTCATTGTCTTCAAAGAAAAATTACATATCCTGAAATTAGTGTAACTTCTATTTACTAAAGAGTTTCTATGGAAACCTCTTTACTCTGAAAACATTAAGACGGACAAAAAAGGGAATGATGCAGTTCCTGCTGTAAAGAAACCTTTTTCTCCCCCGTGTGCATGACTGCCCTGCAGATCTCCCTTTAGAAAGGGGGAAGGGTGGGCTTGAATGTTGTTCTGCTTTGTTTTTTAAAGACAGAGGTGCAACCAACCTTTTCTCATCTCTTTGCAGCTGGAATAGGAGAGGGCAGCCCATCCCAGCACCACCTGTAGAAACTGAGCTCGCCTGCGCAGGGGATATTGCACACATGTGCGGCCTTGGGGGTCCTGTCCCCATTGCACCACCAGCGGCTGTTGGTCTGTAAGATCCGTCATTCTGATACAGAAAATAAAAAAGATGATTTTATAGGGAACGCGCATGATAGGGAGTGGCCCTTTCATTCTTTCATCCAACCAAATATGAAAAACACGTGCAATATGCCTTAACTTCAAAAACGTCCTTGGAAAACCCAACACAGAATTTCTGCTCTTGGAAATAAATTCCAGTATGCTTCTGTACATTGCTTTTGGTATACAGAAGCACAAATCAAGCCCAACATAGATTTCCACAAAAACAACAGATGAAAATACTACCGCGTCCAATTTATGCAGTGGTTCTGACCGTATTCAATCAACGCTGTCTTTTCACAAAAGAAACTTGGGAAACCAGTGCAGCGCTGGGGCCCTCTCACCACGGTTACTGCCCTAAGGGTGAAAATGCAAACACTGGGAATGCCCCCCACCCCAAAAAAATACTCCGCTAAAGATAACCGTGTCTCTTTACCAGCTCCCACCCGTATGAGTGCGGCTGGCCCAGCTGCACACACCTCTCGTGGGCCATGGCAGGCAGGGAGTGCTCTGTGGCGGCAGCTCCCCGTCGCGCTCTGAAGCTGTCAATAGCCACGGCAGGCACGGCCGCTCTCGCGCGTGGCCCCGAGGGTGCTTTTGGCCACTGCAGATGTACCCAAACGGACCTGCTCACCTTGCTCCTGCTGCCAGGCATGCTCTCGGGGAGCTTCTCACTTCACAAATACCTGCTGACCGAGGCAGGAGCAGAGGTTTTGGCGAGGGGCCACACTCAGGGCTTTGCTTTTCCCTTCTCATGACTTACCTGCCCTGTTTTGTCCTATTGCCACGCCACCGTGTCTGCGTCAGGGCAGTAGGAAGGAGGAGGGATGGGGACAGTGATTCTTATTTGAAATGTGAATGTCCCACGGCCAACACGTAGATTGCTCCCCAGACGCGTGATCAGAGCCCGTGTGCGCTTCCCTCTGAAGGAAATGGGTTTAACAACAGTCTCTTGCCACTGCCCGCTACTCCTCGTCTCTCGGTCCCACAGCAGAGCCTCTGCCCGGCCGCCTGTCTTGCTTTGCACTCCCGCTCCTGCTTGCTCCACAGCTTCACCTGCCTGCCCCGCTCCAGCAGCGCGGCCACCGCAGGCAGGCGACCAGGAGGAGAAGGAACTGCAGCCACTAAAAGCAGTGCGGTTCGGAATGGGGGAGCTACGATGAGATGGGCTGCTTCTAGGAAAGGCTTCCCCATGGCCATAGCCCAGACTGCGGAAGAGCCGCAGGGGG